ATGATGTTAAGATTCTGCTGGAGAAAAGTCGGCTGCCAAGATTGCTACGCTGTATTGCCATTGTAAACCGCACTTCTAATAAGAGGCCATAAATTTCGTATGCTCAGCCGCGGACATCACGTACATCATATTTCCGTAACTATTCTCAAATAATTTAGTTACTATCATTTGCGCATTGTTATACTGGAACATAAGCAGAGTAGGTTCTTTGTCCAATAGCTAGTAGAATATAGATGCTGTGCTTAAGGGTCGCATCCGCAGCCACAGACGCTGACAGCCGACTGACACCAGTGCATTTTTGTTACACATCTGCACCCACTGGTTCGAGGCAGTGTTTTAACGACGTCACTTGACAACTGTGAACAGCAGCTGGTGTTACACTGGCGAGAAATAGATTCTTCGATGATCTCCTCCTCGAATTCAAGTCACTACTGTCTCACCATTTTAGGCTGTTCAAAGAAGGTACTCGAAACGATGCAGCATGAAGCCTTGCAACTTGACCGGTCCGACTTAAGGACACAAAAGAGTATGCACTCACCTGTCGGCCTGTATGGTGTGGTGAGTTATGGCTGAAACTTTCAACATGACAGCGGACTTAGCTGCAAGGCGCAGCGAACGGCCTATTTGCAATTTTGGTACCTGCGAACGTCAAATAACTGCTCCAATTAACACAGCTCTTTGCATGAACAGCATTTAAAAAAAATAGTGTCGATTTATATCAAACTGTTGGAACACCTCAATTACCATAAGTTACAGCCTCTTTAGTGCAAGTTGGCGGATTCAACGACACTGCACTAATTACCAGATAAACTTTAACCGAATTTCTTTCCTTGAAAATTAACGAGAGAATATCACACAGGAATCATTGCGATTCATAATCATTATGTGTAAGATTAAATTTGCTTGTGAAGCGTCAAGCAGCCGTTGTATACCTGGTAGAGTGTCTTTGTTCTATTGACCAGATATCTACGATAAGTTTAACTGCGATCAGTATATCGTGAACGAGAATTAAGTGATTTGCTGGCCAGAGAAAGACACACTGACGACCTTTCAGGGTGACTTCTTTTTAACGCATACCTCAATTTTGTTGGGATTCGGTTTCAACGACCATTGGCGAAAGTTGTGGTCCAGCTTCTCGAAAACTTCCGTTAGTGATTCCTTCACGCCTGCAGAATGGGTATCTTGCACTGCAATAACCAGATCATCGACATATCTGAACTCTACGTAGTCCGCAGAAACGGCGATGCTGATTTGCATAAAACACAGTGCGGATGCGAATGATCAGCGGCTGGTAATTCTCCTTAGGTGTAATAGCAGTCCGCTAGAGAGCATGACACCGAGCAGTCTCGGTATTAATTTGTCCTCAGCCACCTCTGGCACTTGTAGACGCATGGCTTCTTGCTATATTGTATCATAAGCTGAACGATCATAAATCGATGCAAGTCACTACCATGATGAGTCAGCTTGCAAACTCCGCTTCAAATGTTTTGGGACAAGGTAAGTCTCAGGTGCTCATTTCTTCGCTGCAGCCACCTTGTTCTGGAACGATGCTCTATTCAAATGCTAAAGAAAGTCGGGCCAGCCGTAACTGCATTGAGAGGGTTTGCTACAAAGCACAGCGTAGATTTGAGTCAGTAGTCTTTTTTTATCCTCTGCGGGTTTCCTTGGCTTACCAATAGTGACGGCATTGCTCTATCGCCATTTCGGTGGTTATTTCCTCATGACATTTTAATAGAATTGAGTAAAAAACCTCTGTTTTTCTTGTCCACATTCCTTAACAAATTTCAAATTGTTTCCGCCTGGACCAGCAGCTGTTTCTGCATTTCGAAGAAATAGGTTACTTCCTCTTTTTCTGACAGTGGCAGGAGTACTATGAAGACATGTGATATTTTTCCAATGAGTCTTGATAAGAACCTTTAGCGTTTTAACCGCTGTTCCGTGTTTCTGGTTCTTTCGTTCCTTACCATCTGTTCAGCGATCAGATTTGCTGATGCTCTACATGTTTGATTCTAGACGGGTGGTCCGCCTCCAAGTAACCTGAAACAACGATAGGCTTTACGACTGGAATGAAGGCAGTCTAACTCCTATGTTATTTTAATCTAGCGGTTGCGTCTTGCGCCATCTGACGAATCAACTTAGCCAAAGGTTCTAAATTGAATAACTGGTCCCAAGCAAAAAATTGCTTTCCCGAAATTTGATGCCAGAGGCGTCTATATGAGCCAGTGCAAGATGCATTGGCACGCAGGGCAGTATAAAATATGAAAACACTTTGTTGATGCAGACCTGCTTGCGACAAGGTAAATGACCCATACCGTAGAATGTAATATATATTAGAAATGTCATTCCTAGCCGTGAGACATGATAAATCTAGGTTATTCTGTTGTTTAGGTTTTGCTAGACACATATGACAATCACACAGCAACAGCAACAACTGTGCCGAAACTTGCTCGAAGGACTTATGTTCCTCTCGAAGAACAATCTGATCATTTAACGCCTTACATACCGGCAGAAAGCTCGCACTAATATCTCGCCTGAATGTAGAGTTACAGGAAGTGGTTGCTATGCAACAGAAAAAAATACCAGTTTTACAGAAGATGCTATACATAGTCGCCACTCATCGTTGATATCATTTTTCTCTCGATCTGCAACCATATTCAGCTTGTTTGTGAGTTTGTCCACACAATGTTAGTGAATGATTAAAGAACTACGTTTGTCTTTCAAATATATTTTTGTATCTTACTTGCCATTGTTGTTTTCAACACTAAATTCAACTATCGTTGAATCTATGGAATTTAATTGACTATCAGCTTCTGTATATTACGTATGACAAAGCAAGCTATGACGATTGCCAGAAACGCCGTAGCCACCAAAGAACTGAGATCAAAATTTAATACTCGTTTCTATATTTGACGTTGTTGTTAATTTAGTTTGTGAATGAACTCCAAAAAATTTCTGAAATATTCCTCATCAACAGGGCTTATACCTCTCTAGTTTGTCTGATAACGAGAACCACCTAGTCCTAACCGACTACTATTCCTGAGAGCTGAAAAAATGCTAAAATTCGAATATGGTGTCATTTCAAGTTCACTCTAAGAGTAGAATGCAGCAAATATAATAATATATCTACCTTTCGTCTAGCTGGAAGCAGCTGCCCATTTTTTTGGATAAAGCCCGTTAAATGCAAAAGAGCGCTTTAGACGACTGTTCAACAATTAACCATTGGCTGTCGACGTGAAAAGCGAGTGTGCGTAAAGCGTGTTGTGAATCACACAGGGCGGCGTCCGTAGTTGAACTGTGCTCAGCACGGACTCACGCAGCAACGATCACGTCGTAGCCGGTGGCCTGGAGTTGGCCTTAATGACCGACGCTGAAGTGTCAGTACCAACTTCGTTTCCTGACTTATCGTGAGTTCGCTGAAGCATGTACTTGTCAACAACAGGCTCATCCATCAGTCGTAACTGACTTGTCTAACAAGGATCACTTCTACACTCCATGTCCATGGCTACGTCGATGAAGCAAGAACGAATCGAAAACAAACGGCATTTTGAGCGGCACACAAGCGGATGAAGTTCTGAATTCGCATATTCGTCATATGCCTAAAGGGAGAAATGTTCTGTGAATCAAAACGTGGTCGATGCCTTGAGGTCAGATTTGATCTCGTCTCTTCGGTCTTCCTCACAGCTGTTCAACATGCAGCACTGTTATACCTCAATAGAGTTTTACTAATGCGCATTCGCATTCTTAGATTTACTCATTGATGAACACCAATAACTTTGTACACAAGTTCTTTCACATACATGGTAACACGATCTCCAGGAACCAGTTGCAGCCACAGATAACATGGAAAAGAAGGTTTTTTCCCTTTGAACGCTGGTCTTCCGTACACTTTCATTTCTGGCACTATTCTCTTCAGGAATTTAATGATGGGAGCTGATCTCCATTTCCGTACCATCAGCCATGTACGCCTATTTATTTTAAAGGCCGAGTTAATAGCATGTGTAATAAATAGTATCCCGTTTTCATGCCAAGAGGGGTACTCATTTTGCGGCGTCCTAAAGAAGAGTGGATGTATGCATGTATGTATGTATGTATGTATGTATGTATGTATGTATGTATGTATGTATGTATGTATG